GGTCCTCTATGGCCACGAGATCTGGACTATGCTCGTGGAGTGCAGATGGATGACGGAACGTGGAGGAGGCGAATGAACCACGAATTGCACCAGTAGCCGGCATAAAGTTGGCTAGCCGAAATCGGTCTACTAGAGTGTTCCGTGAATTGGTTTTTAAACAAATGGCTTAAGCGCCACCTCCATAGAGGACCACTTGTCGTTTCGGATGCCCGGTAAACTCAAAACCCCAGGGCGAGTTCAGTCTAATGCAAACGATTGGAACGCGCTAGTAGACGTTAAGTACTTGGGATTCAAAAGAAAACACTAAATCCAACCGAATGAAAACTAACCAGAAACCGTCTTTCTACCGGAGCGAATGCACTGGACGACCTGTTCTCATCACAGGTCAAGCTCTTCCCCAAACACAAAATCTACGCGCTTCAGGACAGAAATGGTGGACTGAGATTCCCAAGCAGTCCGAGTTGGAGTAAAACCAAACAACGAAAACTACAACAACGAACGAAACATGAGAAACTTCTTCAGATCAGTGCACTCATTGAACGGGAAATTCTAACCTTACAATCAACACAATTATTAAGAAGAATCAAAAAAACATTTATATAAAAAAAAAAAACTAATAGAACGAAAATTTTATTCCTTAAACATTTTTATTCGGGAACCCTGCTCTTCTTCTCTTCACTCTCTCTAATTCCCTACCTAACTGTGCGGATTTCTAAACGGCTATTTATAACTGGCGCTTCATCCAGATTTAATGCATGCATGCGGACATTGTACGGTTCTACTCACGCTTCTGCTTTACCGACTGCTCCTCACCATCGTCTGTCGCCATTGCGACGCTCGCTGCACGGAATACAAAAGACTCACCTAATTGGGTGCGAGTCTTGATTCGCTAATTCACCAACTGTTTTCCGTGGTGATATCCTGGTGGGAAAACTGCTCACCTGGAGCGCGATATTGACGGCGCAGCTCCCTTCTAACTCCGGCCGAAGTTAGGTCCTTTAATACCGACGCGTGGGGTCAGGGTAGTGGTAATAACGAGGGGGCGCGGTATGCCGAGCGGAAGGTGGGACGAAACTAGAGACAAAAATCCGTCAAACGGCTGGATGAGCGCATTGTTGCAAAACCGCATAGCAAATCATTTACCTTTTTGTTGAAACTTAAATCACGCACAGTACCGCACTAGCCTACTAAACTTATTCAGTAGTAGCTACACCTCTACAAACACACCGCGAAACTATACAAAAAAACTTCACAGTCCTGCCTCTTCCACGGGTTGGATTAAAGTCGACGAGAAAGAACTTGGGATTCCTCAGAAGGGCCGCTAAAACAATTCTTGGCCTTCGTTCCGGAAACCGAAAAAACGATCTTATCAAAAGGCGATCTCCGATTACCTTCCGATTCGATCAGAGATACTATCTCTTTTCCTCCCAAGTATCCCACACATCTGCCTAGCTCATTCCAATCTTTAACCTAAAGTGTTTTTCTTATTATTAAATTTCCGACGACAAGTAATCCTACTGGGAGATTATACTCAATCCCACGGATCAAATTTCATGCCACCTCAAATAAGAAAACTTACGCGCCTAGTGAGCGGATGAACAAATAATGAGTGAAATTTCATGCAGCGACCCCGGCGTAGTGGTTAGCATCCATACCTCTCACGCCAAAGTCACGAGTTCACATCTCACCCCGGACAAGTCACGAATGACCCAGAAGCGTTAAAGTGACTATAATAAAAAAAAAATAAAAAAATACTCTTGATATGAGTTTACCAGTTGCATACAAGTAAATTGGGATAGTGCGTGTCGTTTCGAATAGTAACAGTGAACATTTGTAGCATTTGAACATCATGCTACATTAATTTAATATCTAATTAGAATACCGCTACAAACATTGCAAAAAATGGGCGACTACGGCTGGGCACGTCGTAAGAATGCCGCACGACGACCCAGGGAAAATGGTTCTAGAAAGCGACCCAACAGGAACAAGAAGAAGAGGCGCGCAGCGGGCAAGGTGGATCAACCAAGTAGAAGGCGACCTGCGGACCCTTCGCAGACTACGAGGCTGGCGAAGTGTGGCCATGGATCGAGTAGAGTGGAGACGATTTCTTCGGACAGCAGAGGACAACAAGGCCTTAGCCTGATTGGTAAGTCCGTTGTCCGATGCGAAAATGAGCTTCGATACGACATCGTTCTTAACTTAAATCTCATCCCATCGATCGACTCTCCACAAATCAAGCATAAAAATGCATTTAGTCCTAAGTAACATTAACAGATTCTCTCCGTCAAATTTCTCTTTGCATCCTCACGGCCATGTTAAGACATTCGCAGCTATTTTCAGCACATAGATCGATGCAAGAAGCTATTATCTAGCTTCTAATACGACAAACACGATAAGAAACGGTTCTGTACCCAAGTTATTAACGAAGGAGAAGGTTGATGAAGAGAATCGGTCAATTTTACCTAGGAACTAATGCATGGTTTAGCTTGAAACGAGAGAGCGAGATAAATATAGAAAACCGCCAGCCGGATTGGATAATATCGAGTAGGTGCGGATTAAGCTTAATGCAAAAAAGCTCGTTAAATAGGGAAGTCCTTCTACCCAACCGCTGGTTGTCAAGGTTATCCATTCATCGCACGACAGCAGAGGAAAAAATCCACCTTTTACCACTGACTTGCTCCTGGTACCACTCACCACACCGTCCGAAGCGAAAATGAGCGGAAGCACGACCAGTGATGCCACATTTTTTTGAACTTCAATCTGTATTTTCATCGAAAAAAATCTTTTCAATATGTATATGGCTGACAAAAATCTGTAAAAAATATCTGTGTATGGCTGACAAGAATCTGCAAAAAAATCTGTATAATTTATTTATTATGGTCTCAGTGTGAATTAACCTAAATCTTCATTGACTTTATTCATCGTTCAGAAGGAGTTTATTCAATGTTTAGAATGTTGAAAACTGACTAAAGTTTTCTTTTTAAAGAATTTGTCTTTTTTTTTTAAATCTAGAAATCGTAGGATCTTGATTTTTTAAAGTGATTCGTATCTTTTCTACAAGTCTGAAATTACAAAACATTAAGTTCCAGTAGTAGTGAGAGACAAATCAGCTTCCGACTGAATATTTCCTGGGTTTGTTTATTTTTTGTCAAATCGGTAAACAAGTTTAAGTTCAAGTAAAGTTTACTGATTTGTAAAAAAATATTGTTAATTAAGTATCGTACCTGTCACCATGTGACATGGTTAATTAAACAAAAAGAAAGGGAAACTAATATCCCTTGCAACGAGAAATCAGACCACAAGAATATCAGAAGTCCATTAAGGGGGGAAATACAAGTAACACGTCAAAAACTCGACGATTTTAGGAATTTTTTGTGAGCAAATAAAACAACGCAAACGTTTGGGGTTTTGCATTAAATTGCTTGAATCTTCCTCTACATTTGAGATTTTTTTCATTGGTGAAAAATACGTTTGCTCAAAAAGAAGAAACAATTATTTATCAAAAAAAAAAAAAAAAAAAAAAAAAAATGATTTTTATATTCATGTTCTTCTTACTTGAATAATCTGTATATTTAAAAAAAAAAAAATCTGTAATCTGATATCTGTATCAAAATATTGAAAAAAATCTGTATGTTTACAGATAAATCACTGGGCACGACAGCAGCGTTCTTTTATAACTTGTACGGTTCAAGCAGAATGATTTGCCACCAAGTGGTACTTGATTATGACGACTGGGTTTGGAGAAAACGTTTATTTTATGAAAACAGTGATAATTATTATCACTTTTTACTTGCACATCTGTTTTAATTGTTTAATTTTTAATTTTTTGAAAATTGTAAAAGCATTTATTTAAGCAAATTTGACGAGTTATTTCCTATCAATTGGTGTTTTTGGATTTTATTTTCTTCTATAAATAACAAAGTTCTAAGCATTCAAAACCTAGCACCTTTTCGTGACGGTTGCATAAACTATACATGCCGCGTGTCAGCACTTTAGAAATACAACCCTGTACAACAACAGTTTCATGCATCCGCTTTCAAGAGACTTGTTCGAACTTCGATCCGCTGGAGCGACAAAGGCACGTCATTGCATTTATGAGTAGATATATCTACATCTGTTTTCCTCCAGTCTGATTCTGTCCGAAAAATTCAACCATCCGACCAAGCTCCATACCTACACTCTGTTCAACGCCAGAGCAGCTGCTTCTGCCGCAACGTAATCCATATGGATCCACCATTCGTATGGCACCTTCACCGGTCGGCTGAGGCAGGACCGGAGGAAAGCCCCGGCAGAGGTCGATGTTATTTCCAATTTGGTTAGATTTGGTTGGCTGAGTTGTATCATTGTATTTCATTTATGTACATGACGAGGTGGTGGTGGTTTTCGGGTCTCTTCCGTCCTGTTCGGTGGGTTTGCATCTCTCTCGTTCTGGCATCCGTGTGGTCGGGTAGCTCGGAAAGGACCATGCAAACCGCCCCTTCGGTTTGTGCGTGTATTATTTTTTGTTGCTGCCTGTTGGGTGAGTGAGATACAACTATGATGTAGCATACAGTATCCGAGCGGGAAGATGGAAATTGTTAAAACATTTTGAATCAGTAGCATTTGATGATTTGGCCGGTTATGACGTTGAGGGGATGTGAGCATATCGGATTTTTGGCTTTCAATTCGCGAGAATACCTATTTATTTGCGTGTGGTAACCCGGACCAGGTGGTTCGAGTGGTTTCCTGGACAACGGTAGATTCCTGTGTTGAGATAATGTTTCAGTTTGTTTCAAGTGGAACCACAAGTGTGAATTGATATTTTGTTTTATGGAAAGCTGAAGTATTTCGTTGGTTGCGCGTTCGTGAATAGAAGCGTGAAAAAGGATCATTGTAGTGCAAAGATTAGGGAAACTGCTGGTTTTATCTGTTTCATTGGTGTAAACATTGTTGTTGAAGTGGTCAAAAGATTGAAGTGATTGGACGAAATTTGTCAAAGGTGCGTTTGAGTGCAGAGTAAAGTGAAGTGAAAATGAGTTTACCCAGCGGCGTTGATATGTCTAATCTGATGCAACAGCACCCGGTTCTGGGGGCGTTGCCACCAGCATTCTTCCTACGGGCGGCATCGGAACGATATCAGAGGACACCAAAATGTGCACGTTGTCGGAATCATGGCGTGGTGAGTTTGTATCAATAGTAGTGCATGAGATAAACCTTCATAGGATGATTTTTAAGTCACAGATCATTTGGGGAAATACACTTTGTTCGAAAATGAAGCTAATATAAAAATTACAAAATTGTTAAAAAAAACCTTCGGACGACCACTTTACAGAATCTGTTCATGCGATGAAGCATGACAAATTCTGCATGCTTTGTGTGCAAACCTCTAATAGAATCTTACATTTTACAGCTGGGTAACGGGTCTGTGGTATGGTCTGTTATCCATAGATGGACGTTGTTCAAAACCATTATGGACCATAATTTAAAAAAAAATACCATTAGCGAACGAAAACCCAAATAATAAAACTATTCCACAAATTGTTAGGATGATACCCCAAACACGTCGCTAAGCAAAATAATCACACAAAAACGTTGGAAAATATAAATACAAACAATTTGCTATCTTCATTCATACAGCCAAATGCTGTATTCGAGCGCTACGTGATATGAGGCCAAATTTACTGAACCTCTTTTTTTTTAAAACTCTAGCTAGCTTTGGTTTTTGGAATAATTTTTTACCCTACACTCGCCGACACTTCTATACAGCTGTTTTGCGTGTGTCTAAATGCACCTCAATTCCATGCAGCCTGTGTGGGTTTAGTGGTGGATGAAGGATATGCTTGCATTACCCGGAGTGCTCTCGTGATTTGATGGAGGCTTAGTGATCTAATAAAACTATGATCACTTATCTTATCTTACTATGAAGTAAGGTAATCTATTGTTCAAAGACGTAAATAGGAAAGACTAATGTTGTTATAAATAAACTCGTACACACTGTGAAAAGTCTCACCGCATCTTCCATTGCTCTTGAGTCATCTGGATAATGTGATAACATAAAATTGATTGATAACGCGTCATTGCTAACGTCTACAATGTTTCAGCTTCAATAACGATGCGAAAATTTCACTATTCGTGCTAATGTCGTCATCAACGAAGAAGTGACGATTGGTTCCATTTGTTTTTTTTTTTCGATGAAATGTCTAGTCTCACCGTGGAGGGAAAAATCTGCGCTGCATTACTGGAAATTAAATGGAACAGGAATTGATAGTTTTCAACACAGCTTCCGTGTATTTATCGTGGTTTTTCCTATTTCGAAATGGTTAACAAGTAAATAGTAGGTATAAATTTCCTTGTGCAATTGTGAATCTTGAAAATTTAATCGCATTATCTTTTTCTCCTTCACGAAAGAGCTACGATGTCACTGTCGCTGCTAAATATGCTGTCTCTGTTAGTAAGAAAATTAGAAGAAAACGTACCCGATCCGGTAGACGGCCACAGTGGTTTGTAGTGAAGTAAGGAGCTCGGTGGCCTAGTGGCGACCGTTTTTGCGTACTGAGTAGAAGAGTTGCAAAGTTTTGTATGGGGAAATGAGTGCGAAACGGAATGAAGCTATTCATTTGCTTGTCAAAAATATAGAAATTGTCAAAACTGGACGTGGATACACCCGAGTAGAATAAAGTATCTAACCAATAGCAAATTTTGATATTAAAAATCCTGGTTTGAGCAATATATGAGCATGAGCATGAGCATTGACGACCATACATTTCAGTAGTTGTTACTCCGTGATTGACCAGATTTAGTGAAATTTGCACAAATAACCATATGAATGGGGCTTGGGACTAGCAATCCATTATCAGTGTACAAAATCCGGAAAATCCATATTTTTTAAGTCAATAACGGCACCGGTCACGTCCTTACGGTCATCGGGGAGGGCAAGGATTGTTATTTCAACAACCGTTGCTACTGGAGACCGAGTATACCTCTGCTTCTCCACGGTTGTCACAGGAAGGATGTTTTTGTTAGTGGGAAGGGTAAATTAGATCTGGATTCACATTGGAAAGCGATGCGATCTTTTAAAACCTGTTAAGCAAATGACGCGACCCTATCAACTCAGTAACTTGGGTTTTAACCCACGATCTTCTGCTCAGTAAACAAAAACGGTCGCTCTAAGGCCACCGTTCCCCTTACATCACAACAAGCTACGACCGACGATCGTTCATTATCGGTTACAAGAAGCTATTACAATAAAATAAAACCATCCAAAGTAGTTAACAATGTCTTCCGAACCGATTCAGGCGCACATCACCTTTGTTTAAATATACTTATTACTTTTCTGAATCGTTCCTCCAATTTCTGTTGTTAACGATTTTCTACAATGGAGGCCTGGATATATGAACTTAGTAATGTAATGAATCTTGGGTTCTAACCCATGATCTTCTACTCATTAAGCAAAAACAGTTGCTCTATAGCCACCGTGCCCCTTACATTACCACAATGTACGACCGACTCAACAAAAAGTTATTCAAATGAAGCAATGCCTCTGAAAGCAGCCAACAATGTCTTCCAAACTGGATCACGCATACACCCTTTCCGAAATACATGGTTTAAACTATTGAACTTTTGGTTATTAACTGCGCTTTATGCTTTCGGAACCCAACGGTGGTGGTTTATTCTGTTGAAATATACTAACGGTACTGCCTACGGAGACTTCGACGGCGATTACGACCACGACTATGACGGCGAATACGACGACGCCTACGACGACGACAACAGCGAATTTGTAACTTACCATTTATCTAGGATATAACACATTCGCCCGGCACCTCTACGATTTTTTTTCAATATAGGCCTGGGTAGATCAACTCAGTAGTGCAACAAGGCTTGCACGGAGACGAAAAACGACCCAAAATTAAGTACTTTTCCCTCATTTGAGTAAATCGCATATAGTAGTTTCCATTTAACACTACTTTTAAGTATATTCCACCCAAAATTAAGTTTAATTCACGTAAATTTGAGAACATGCAATTTACTCAAAAGTAACTTATTGGGCTGAACTATATCGTTGGGTCGAATCTCTTGTTCCTTTTTTGACAACAATAAGTCAATATTAAGTAAAAAGAACTCAAACTTTGGGTAGTATTTTTTCTCCGTGTGGGCACGAATACACCCTTTCCGAAATTTTAAACTCAACATTCGCATCTAATCGCAACAACCGAACTCTTAAAACAAATTCTGGTTTGAGCGATATAAGAGATAAACTAACGAAAATAATATCATAAAACCTATGGGCTAGTAACTGAGTAATAGCAAAATAAGTTGTATGCATATTTCGTGAAAAGTCCCCAAGAAGGAGGATCCTACTGTATGCGACAACTGGCGAGGCATCATGTTACTGTGTATTGTTCTCAAAGTTCTGGGTAAAGTTATCCTCGGTCGGATACAGGAGAAGATCGACGCGACTCTCCGACGACAGCAGGTAAGATTCCGTGCGGGAAGATCCTGTGTGGACCATATTGTCACGCTCCGCATCATCTCCCTGTACTTGGTATTCATTGACTAGGAAAAAGCTTTCGACCGACTAAACCACGAAAACTTGTGGGGCGCTCTGAGACGCAAGGGAGTTCCTGATAAGATCGTCCACCTCATCGAAGCGCAGTGCGAGGCTTTCTCATGCAGAGTTTTGCCCAACGGAGCTTTGTCTGACCCGAGTCGGGTAATCGCGGGTGTGAGGCAAAGATGTATATTACCACCGTTACTGTTCCTCATCGTAATAGACGAGATCATGGTTGGAGCCGTTGACCGTGTACCGAACCGGGGGTTGCTGTGGCAGCCTATTACTATGGAGCATCTCAACGACTTCGATTTGGCTGATGATGTTGCGTTATTAGCACAACGGCGCTCTCACATGCAGAGTAAGCCCGACGACATTGTGGAACGCTCCTCTGAAGCAGCTCTAACCATCAAGGTCAACAAGACCAAATCGTTGGATGTCAACATGGAAAACCGTTCCAATTTCACGGTAGCTGGGCAGGCAGTGGAGTAAGTCGAAAGCTTCCAATATCTTGGCAGCCAGATAGTGTCGGACGGCGGCACCAAGAGCGACATAGGTGCACGGATTAAGAAGGCGAGGGCTTCTTTTGCCAGCGAATCAGATCAGTCGACGCACCAAAATCCAAATTTTTAACTCGAACGTGAAGTCTGTGCTGTTATACGCCAGTGAAACATGATGTGTATAAGGAACACTCAGAAGCTGCAGGTGTTTATCAACCGATGCCTGCGGTACATAATTCGTACCTGGTGGCCCCACAATTGGATCTCAAATTCCGAGCTTCATCGTTTGTGCCATCAGAAGCCGATAGAGACAGAAATTCGTGAACGGAAGTGGGTCGGAAACGAAATCTGCAAGCAAGCATTGGACTGGAATCCAGCAGGACATCGCAGCAGAGGCAGACCCAGAGGCTCGTGGCGGCGGAGCCTAAACAGTGAAATTAAGAAAGTTGACCGAAATTTGACTTGGGCACAGGTCAAGGCCAAAGCTAGTAATCTCCCAGGATGGAAATCTTTCACAAAGGCCCTTTGCACCCCTGGAGGTGCGCTCAGAAATTGATGGTAAAATAAGATATTATTTTGTTCAGGTATTGTTGTTCCCCTCTACCCGGGTAGACATAGAGAATGGTAATTGTAATTAATTTGAATCAATGTACAATTATCAATAACGCAGTAGCAACTACGAAATGTATGGTCATCTAAGCTCAAGTTCAAGTTTGTCTAAAACTATACTTTTCTTACGGTCATGATTACAGGGCTGGTAGCAATCACTGCTGTTAAAAATAGTGATTTTAGTGACCATTTTTATGAAATAAGTGACCAAATAGTGACTTATAGTTGTACAAATAGTGACTAAAAAGTGACCCAAAAGTAAATTTTAATGGAAACTCTAAGGAATTTCTGAGGAGCTTCAGAGGAAAATTTCAAGGGCATTCTGAGCATAATTTCATAAAGTTTGTGGGAGAAAACGAATCCGGAGCATAAGTCCTTGAAATTGTTTTGAAAATCCTAAAGGAGGATTACAATTAAATCTGAAAATAACTCCAGGACATCTTCAAAGGAATTCGGAAAATGAATTAAGGAGAGTTTGCCAAACAAATTATGAGAAGAAATCTAAGTAACTTGTGAGGA